CACCCATGTATGATAAAGTTATGTTGCGGAAATTAATTCTTGAGAAATAAAATAAAGACGCACGCTACCTATACTAATCTTATTCGCTCGCTGTTTCATGACGTCTTATCTCTTTTTTCTTTTCTTCGTAAAGTCTCGCAATACATGATAACGATGCTGAATATTAATAATAATATTTGTGGTAGACCCTGTTATATAAATCATATTTATATATGTAAATATGTTATAACAAAATAATATAATAGAAAAAATCATATAAGAATTTTTTGCAATTTTCTTTCGACCGAAGGTAAATGTTTTGTTTTTTATTAATAAATTGTATTGTATATTATATTATTCTCATGTTATCTCATATATATACAGGGTGTCCCGCAACATAATGTCCACACTGAAACTGTATATTCTTTGTGTCATTCTAAGTCAAAAAGTCTTAATACATATATGCCCTAAAGTCGCTTGTTTTGAAGTTGATAGAATGACAAAAAGAATACACAGTTTCAGTGTGGACATCACGTTGCGGGACACCCTGTATATATATTGTATCATATTATATTTATATTTGCGTTAACTATTTTTCACTTTAATATCAGTCTGTCTACCAATGAAATTTGATCTTAAACATCACGCCATAATATTTATTGAAATGTTATCTTCATTTCGATATAAAAGCCGTACGTTTCCGCATTTCACTCATAGTCTGACGTTATTTGAACAATTATTATACGATTTAAGTTAACTGAAATTTATTCTGATTATGAGTTCCGAATTAAAGTTTTATATATAAAATAAATCCAAGAGATGATTTTTTAAATTAACTCCTCACGGAAGACGAACTCCTTGTGCTGGTGATAACACAACAATTTGTGTTAAAATGCCAAGAATAAATATAGCAAATGTTATAAATTTATTAGACACAACGTTTAACATTGCAAATTTTGGTGTCTTTTACAAAAGAAAAGCAGTTGAATTTTGGAACAGTGGAAAAAAGGACATTTAGCTATTACTGCTGTACAGAATCGTTTTAGAATGGTAAAATTTAATACAGACATAAGAAAAATAATATGAGTTGAACGAGCAGGTAGATGTGCGTTGTGTATAAATAGTAGGTAATAAACGATAATGGAAACAGAAAGATATTTCAGACTTATGCATATTACTTACTTCGCATATCTGCGTTAGTTCTTTAATCTTTTTATCTTTGAATTAAATTTTCTAAATATCAAACTTCTTTTTTTCTAGGTAAAATCTGTTTCGCAATTGCATAGATGGGAAGAAAATGTAATACGCGGAGGGTCAAACAGGGACAAACTTGTATTTATTGACGAATGTGCACTATCGCAATTCCAAGAAGCTATTGATAGAGGCTTTATCATTCACGACATAGATTTGCAAAAATGGGCATTACAAACAAAGGAGCAAATAGACTTTTCCTCATTTAGAGCAGGAAATTGGTGGATATGGAATTTTAAAAAAGCACATCACATTGTATCACGTAAAATAACAAGTTTTAAGACGCGATCTTCTCATGCAGCTGATGTAACAATACATCAAACTGCAGAGGAATTTGTGAGACAGGTTAAACCACATATTGATGTTATCGGTGCAGGATCAATTTATAATGCAGATGAAAGCGGCTTTAATTTCGAAATACATTCTGGAAGAACATTAACTAATGTGGGAGCAAAACAAGTCGAATCTACTATCCAATCTTTATCTTCTATGACTCAGAGCTATACCATTATGCCCATTATATCTGCAGATGAACATCTTCTTTCACCTCTGTATATAGTACTAAAAGAATCTAATGGAAAATTTAGACCACGAGTAGAAGAAACTCTTTTGCTTCCTCATAGAGGAAGCTTTGTTTTCGTGACAAAATTTTTTTTCGAATTTTCTATGCTATAAAAAATATTTACATTAAATTGTACATTGTTGTATTTGTTTCAAACAGCACTACAACTTTTATTGTGTCGAGTTCAGTTTGAACCATTTAATTTGATATATATTTGTTATAGTCTATCTCTTTTAATTTAAAAGATAAAAGGAGATGACCACTTTTGGTGGAACAACCTGTATATGATACAAAAATAAATAGCGAATTTCGCGTGTCGTTATTACTCGATTTGATCTTTTCCAAGGTCCTGGGCGTATACCTGGTATGGCGTGGCGCATCAAGAAACCTCCGCGTATACGTGGACTTCACGTTCACGCTGCTGAATCGAGAGCATTTCTCTATGAACGAGAGCTTCTCCGGCAAGCGGGTCAAGTTCACTTACGAGGCACCGGCCCAAGGCAACCGCAGTTATATCGCTGTGGCGGATCTCTACAGCCGTAATTTCGCCGACACAAACGGCGAATTTCAGCTGGAGTTGTCCATGGCGAATGTGCGGACGGTATACATGACCGAGGTCAGAATGCCGACATCGGTGTTCTCGGCCGGCCAGACGAAGCCGAGCAAGCTGGAGACCGACTACTTCGCGTTCGGCGGTTTTGACTGGAATCTGGTCATCTATCCGCACGGCAAGGACACGGACGGTTCCCGCGCCCAGGACAGCCGCGTGAGTGTCTATCTTATGAGACTGTCTGGCTTCGATCATCGATGCAGAGTGAGATACAGTCTGGCCCTCGGCGAGGGCGATAGACGGATCGATTCGGGACAGATCGAAGACATCTCCGACGCCGAGGGCTGCGGCTTCGGCTGGCACACGCGGGTCAGGTGGTCCGACATCGCGCACAAGGGCACACTTCGCGTGTCGCTCGAGATGCTCGAGGCAAGAACCATCTGCGAGATCGCGGTGCAGGCATTGGGCTCGTCGGTCCTGCCAGCTGCGCCATGCTACGATCGCGACAAGCAAGCTTGGGCCATACGCGCTGATCTCAACTCGGATACCGTCAGATTGCACTTGGTGTACAAAGACATCCACAATGTGCCGAGAAATCATTTAAGGTATATTTAATTATTATCTTTTTTAATCGTAAAAGATCGAATAATTATATACATCTATATTATACATATAGCACATGATCTATTAAAAGTGACACTAATAATATTATCATAAAATAATATTTTATGATAATAAGGTATTATTAAAGAATAGAAAAATTTTTTCCTAGATAAATCGAACATTCAAAAAATGTCATAAAGTAAAGATATCTAAAAGATGTTTGAAAAACGCTAAATCTTTGAGACATTTTTTGTCTGTGTAGGTACGTTAGTTGGTCGGCATACCTGCTGAGGGGCGAGGGACCAAACGTCGCGGCGATTGGATTGCCCGGCGAACCGTTCAGCCGCTACTATGTTCAAGAATCCGCCGATGAGGGTATCATCATGGAGACTAACGTGGATATGAACGAGGTGAAGGAGAATCACTGTCCATACCTCACAGACAAGGGACAGCTGAGGATCCGGATAGAATGGAACGAGAGTCACTTGCTCTTCCAGGCGACCTATCACAAGTACGACGATGTGTGTCGCGTGCACAATCAGCAGATGCGACGCGAAATCATGTCGCTGCAGGCGGAGAACTACAGCCTCGAGCGGCAACTCTTCAGCTACCAAAAGAGTCTGGCGTACGCGCAGGCGCAACAACAGCAGCAACAGCAGCACCAGAATCAGCAACATCACTCGGTAGTGGGTCATCAGGGCCATCTAGAGCGATCAGCGTCTAGTGACACCGAATACGCTTGACAAGTGGAACGCGAGTTATCAAAGTCACCAACACCACCAAGTTGCCGACGTCAGCTGCCGGCGACGACGACGACGACGGCGGTGCCGGAGGACGACCAGCGAGTACATCAGAACCTGGTCAGAATGATGGATCGGCGGCTGAGCAACGTGCAGTTGCAACAGCATCTCTACGAGGAACAACGACACCGTCATCGACACAGCAACGGCAGCAGTGGTATCTCTTCGCCCAGACGGAGCATTGATCGCAACGGCCAGGAGCATTGTCGCAGCATCCTGCAGCAGCCCAGGTCCAGCGTCGGCGCCAGATCCAATGGCGGAGGAAGCATAGGCGGCGCTTACGAAAATCGAGCCGCGGGCAACAACGATCGGTATGCCGGCTACTATCTGGGATATGTCGGCCAAGCGGCGCACAAGCGACGCAGGACCACATTCTGGGAGACGCTGACTGGTCTGGTGTGTTCCCTGGGCGCTCTGGCCTCCAGAGCGGCAAAGATGGCCGCTAGACGGGGCGATCCTCTCTGAGGGTACGGTCGACGGCCGAGGACTCGACGCAATGATCGCTATTGCCGGGGGTGGGCAAACGCGCGGGAATGTAATGTGAAGCTCGTTGGGATGCACATACAGCGCGTTCTGTCTTCTGTATGTCGGTACAATATCTCCCACCGAACCGATCAAAGGAATTGTATAATCTTGACATAAAGCCACGTGGTGTATGCAACATTTTTTTACATTTATATATCTCTCTAAAAATTAAAAGAGATATATTTTTTCTCTTTTTTGACTAATTTTATTTCTGTTCATATAATTTCCTTTTTAATTTAATTGTAAGCGCGTGACGCAGGATAATAGAAGTTAAAATTAATTTGCTTTAATTAAATTTTCTTTGATATAACATAATACATCGTATCAACGAGATTGCAAAAATTTATCTGAACTTTATTGTTTTCTTGATATATTATCTTACGAGATTTTTTTCTTATTTATTATATATTGAAAATATCTTACTATCTTTTAAAAAACATGTTGGGAAGATATATGCAATGCAAAAAAATGCGTTGTACGCGCCGTATATTCTTCTTGGCCAGTTTTCATGCGAGTGTATGCAAATGGTTTCTGTTGAATCTCTTGAATGATTCAAGAGATCACCGATTTTATGAGACAGAACGTCCCGTATACATGTAACGCGGGAACGCGATAGAAAGCAAAAGAAAAGGGGAAAGAGAATCGTAGGGAGAGTCTAGGGTCGTATTCGACTCTACACCTACGCACACATATACACAAACACAGAGATCTAAAAACGCGAACACGAATCTATACACGTACATACGCGAACACAAATCTATCTACTTGTCAATTTACTAAAGAACCTATTTTCCTCTAAAGACTTTTTTCACCTATTGTGTACATCGCCGTGGAAATAAGAGGATATGCGCGTTGGCACATAGTCGCCAAGCCAAGTAACAGTACTGTAATTATCGTAGTACGTATATCAAACAGAATTAGAGTACAGTTAATGTTATATAAGCGAACAAATTCCAGAAAAGAGAAAGAAACAAGAGAGAAAAACAGAGAGAAAACACAGACTCGTACTTTTTTGGAAGCCCTCAAAAGGCCGCTTCGTATAATGCCATTGCTGTGCGAATTAAGTTCACTCAAACGCTTTAGACTTTGTCTCCTTCAAATTGATCTTTTTACTATGAACGTTGAGAACGCCATCGTTACATAACTCTATGATTCCATTGAAGCTGTCGCTACTTGCCGTATAGATATTTAATCGAAAATTGAGCTTCTATTAATTCTGAAACGACTATCTGAGATATATATGGATTAATAGGAATTATATAATAAAAATAGATTTTTTGCAAAGAATCCATTTCATATTTTTATAATTGGAGATTGGCTTAGATATTTGTGTGTGTCATTTTCTTCCTTATAAATTGAAACAAGTTTAACTTATAAATTGACACAAAAAATTAAATTTTTTTTAAATAAAAGTAAATTTTTTTGTACGTTTCGGACCTTTTTTTGATCCATCTTCAGTATGGATATAAGTATGTAAAAATTATCTGGGATGATGCGTGGCTTCGTGTAGAAGTCACTGACTGATAATCGATAGATCCAAAGTTCGAATCCGTTCGAACATTATCCCCCATATGCCTCTCCCGCCCAGAGTGGGCGGCTAAACTGAAAGATGTGTCATCGCTATTTCACACCCCCCGAGACCCTGACCTTAGATTAGTATCTTTTTTATGTATCAAATATTTTAATAGCACAAAAAATATGTGTCATCATTACATCATTACATTACATTACATCATTTTATTTTTTTAGAAAAGTAAAATACAGTATTAATAACGCAATATAAGAATATAAATTAGAATTCCAAAATTTTTCAAATATTTTCTGACTTCAAGGATCAGAATTACGATTTATACGTTTATAGAATATAAGCTCTCTGCGCATTCCTTTCTTACTCGGTCATCTTTCAAAGAAATCAATCTATCTATCTCGTACACATCACCCGATAATTAGAACATTTGAATCAAAAAACGATGGCGTTATACGCAGCCTGTAAGCACAGACTGTATTATTTTAAAATTATAATATTAATTAATAATTTAATATTATTCAAATAATACAAGACTCTCATTCTATTTTTTTATATTATTATGATACAATGTATATAGTAATAGCACAAAAAATATGTGTCATCATTACATCATTACATTACATTACATCATTTTATTTTTTTAGAAAAGTAAAATACAGTATTAATAACGCAATATAAGAATATAAATTAGAATTCCAAAATTTTTCAAATATTTTCTGACTTCAAGGATCAGAATTACGATTTATACGTTTATAGAATATAAGCTCTCTGCGCATTCCTTTCTTACTCGGTCATCTTTCAAAGAAATCAATCTATCTATCTCGTACACATCACCCGATAATTAGAACATTTGAATCAAAAAACGATGGCGTTATACGCAGCCTGTAAGCACAGACTGCATCTGCCTTTCGTAGAAGGTTAAACAATCAGGGTAAAAAAAAAAACAGAAACAAACAGATCATTCTTCCACTGTTACCTATTCATGAATTTGATGTTGTTGGGACTATCATGGAATCGTCTATTTATTTTTTCCAAAGACTCACTTGTTCTTACTTACGCTATCACTAGAAATCCAAAAGAGATCTTCGGCGAAGTGCTCTCGTGTCTCATCTAATTTCCTATTTGTCGCGTACTGCCGTCGAGTATTTCAGAATTAATATCTCGGTGTAAACGTTTCGCGACGTTTCGTAGCCTAATCGTGCACGCGAGCAACTGACGCCGATATAATTTCCTTCTTATTTATCAACAATGTCGTATATCTCGCGCCGATAAAATTCCTAAAGTACATCTGAAACCATAAAACTTTTGTTTAAACAATTTTTTTATATTTTTTTTTATTTCAATAATATTCGCTTTGGAATGTAAAAACCGATTTTTTTCTAAGGGGTTGTTTTCACCCCTGAAACCGATTTTTAGTACCAACAAAAAATCGTTTCGTTATTAGGGATTACTACTCTATAATTATGCAAAGTTTCAGACTTTTTAGAATTTTTGCGTTGCCGAATGTTCTTTGTAAGCTAGCTTGCACCTCGCTCAGTGTGAAGCGAAAACCTGCAGCGCGCCCAGCTTAGCTTTATGCAATGTAAAGCGCAGAACAGCAAGCAGTAAATCATGCGTGCTATCCAACACAAAAAATCGCATCGTGGGAAACGGGCTTTAGAAAGCTTGATTCCTTTAAAAACTTTTTTATTTCTTTTATTCTCTCGCGCCGATAAAATTCCGTTTGAGATGAAAAATTATTACGCAAGAAGACGGAAAAGTGGAATAGGATTCGAAACTTGGAAAGTATTCTTTTCCCTTCATGTTTATTTCAGAATTTTTAAAGGCGTCTCTGCAATGCGTATTATGCAGAAATGCATTCGTAAAGAATCTGCAACAGACGATGTTTTTAAGTTATTCGATACATTCGACTCAATTGCACAACATCTGCAGTATTTGATTATTCTACTAACATTTGCAGCGATATTAATCTACCGTTAAAATTTTTTTTATTATGAAAAAATATATAACACATATATGTATATACATTTATCGTAGTTTAAATTTTTTATTCGAAAATGTGTTTTCTTAGATGCAATATTAACACTTCTCTTATCCATAGAACGAAATTTTCTTTAAAAACTTTTTTATTTCTTTTATTTTTTTTCGTAAAATTAATCGTTTTCAAGAAAAAAAATAAAATACATTATCATGCACAGCACGGTGCTAAATGGCATAGGTTTCGAATTAGTTTCGAGAAGTTGAATTTTAGAATAAAAAAAGCAAGCAAAACAAAATTATAGTAAATGTTGGAAAAAAATGGTACAAAAGCAACACAGAATTAAAAAATAAAAACCTAATTTTTACCTCCTTTTTTGGAAGAGTGTAACTCTTCAGGGATGGATATAGAAGTATATGTTTATATGAAAGATCCACCTTAATTTTCGACAAAGAATCATCTCCTAAAATTTTTGCATTTATTTAGAATCATCCTGTATATACTAAGTTGCGAAGTGGATTCTCTAACCGATGCAAAAATATTCTATTTCGAAAGTTATTGTTAATAGAGATAAAAGTTATTGTCAATACAGTTATTGACAATAACATATAGTTACATATAGTTACAGTTATTATTTACACTAACAGTTACAGTTATTGTTTTAAAATTTGTTGGATGCTGCAGTCACGTTGCTACGATCATTTGATAAAGGTTGAGTTACGGTCACGTTCATGGCTGCCGTATTCCAAACGAAGCTACAGCCAATATATATATGTATATATATCAGGTCTACCGGAAAGTTCTGTCCGTTTTTGGAATAAAACAAAATACAAATTTTTATTACCGTCAATAAACTTTATTAAATAATGTAATTGCAATTATTATTAATGATTTCTTGCCAGCGTGAGGGCAATTTGCATATCCCATTTTCGAAAAATGTTTTATCTTTTGATACGAAAAATTGAACCAGTGCTTGTTTGATATCTTCTTCATTTTTGAATTTCTCGCCCCTCAAAAAATTTTGTAAGGACAAAAACAAATGATAGTCGGAGGGTGCTAAGTCCGGGGAATATGGTGGATGCGACAGAATTCCCCAGCCTAGTTCTGCAATTTTTTGACGAGTCCCCAAAGCAGCATGTGGCCTAGCATTATCATGATGCAGTATGATGTTCCTCCTATTGAACATCGCCGGCCTCTTTTCTTGGACTGCTATATTTAAATTATCCAGTTGCTGACAATACTTCTCCGAATAATGGCAATTACATTATTTAATAAAGTTTATTGACGGTAATAAAAATTTGTATTTTGTTTTATTCCAAAAACGGACAGAACTTTCCGGTAGACCTAATATATATCAATTTGAATCCAGAGAAAAGATGAGGATTCCGAGTGAAAATGTGCATTTTTGTAATTTTTAATACTTTTTAATTGAATAAAACATTGGCGTCATCTGTTGATACGCGTTTTCTTTTGTGTTGATTATTTCTAGAACGGGAAGAGAGTCCACTTTCACATACTTGATATATAATAGTTAGGGAACTTTAGTTTAGCAAAAAAATCTTTTCTCGTTCACAAAAAAGAGATAAGAATGAGCATCACTCTTTCTAATTAACTTTTAATAATGATGAAATCTATTAGAAATTAATTTCATTTGCTGTAATTAGATAATTTTGCGTTGGCATTTTCATCTTACTTTACACCCTTGCCGCCAGAACGATGCAATAATTTCCGCTTTGCCTCACCGTGACGGTATTTTCTCATACGTGTAAGTACTGTACGTTAGCAAAATATATAGCTATGCAAACCATGTACCATTCCCGCAGATACATATGTGTATCTGCGACACCGGCAGGTAACATTTGATCGATACAGTATACGCTGGATATTCCGCGCGAACACACATACGTAACACATTTATGGACAACCGAAATTGCCTGCGTAATGTGTATGCGTATGTGTGTATCCTTGGTGATACGTCGCCCACATCTACAATCTTGTCTCTCATCCATACGGCACCTGCAGCAAATGTCAATTTACTAGGAAGAGAAACTGTTGATACCGGAATCGCCGGCTGACATTTCCATGTCAGTTTCAAAATCAAAATCAAACGACTGAATTC